TTCTTGACAAATTTTCGAAGGTTTATGCAATTTTAGTAAGATTTGCAAGTCATCTTGTAGTTATATATATGGTGTCGTGAATCGATGAATGTACATTCGGTTATCAGACATTTTTAAAAAAGTATGATTTGATAGCGATTCTCCGATGTTTCTATTAATTCCGAAATATGTTTATCTGCATATTGAGTATCATCTGCATACTAAAATCTGAGGCAATTTGGTAAACTGTTAAATATTTCGTATAAACTGAGAAAAAAAATAGACCAAGTGCATCTCCCTGTGGGACGCCAAGGGATACGTTTCTTGGAAGTAATATAAACAGAAACCAGAGAGGATTTCTCCTTGTATAACTTCATGCTTTTGTTTTTAAGCACACCAAGGGTCCTCTGTAATTCCCAAGAGATACTGTCCCAGGGCTACGTTTCTTTTGTCTCCATTATACCTGAGCTCAGTCTTCTTGAGAGTTGATCTCCATTTGATTACGAGGTTGGATTTTGCTGCTGAATCCTCATTTGGTTGGCTGGGAGAGGGAACCCTAGTGGATGAGGGTGTCTAGATGGGCAGTTGAATATCCTGTTTTGAACGTCTAGATTTATTTCTGGTTATCATCTTTGATGAAGGTATGCCGACCGTCCTCTGGCCTGAGAAAACTACTGACTCATCAATCTACTTTCCTTGCTGTCATTGGCAGGAATTAAGCACTAATCTCTGCTGCAGAAATCCCTCATATGCTGTCAGTATGCATATCTATCTATATATGTCCTGCCAAGGTGTGGAAAGCTAAACCTCAGGGATGTATACAGCATCGGTTCCACACTATATTAGTCGACTGAGCAAACAGTCTGTTGATCAAAACTCCGATTTTGGGTTGGCGTCTGACCGATGTCTGTTGGTATTCGCACATCATCTGTTACCTTTTGTATTCTCACGGTCGCAGTCGCAATGGGGGAGTTTCTTATCCTCCGCCAGATTTCGGAATTCAGTGTGCAATCACGATGGACAATCGTTGTGTCCAGCATTCTGCATTACTCCTTAATATCCTAAACAAGGAAGCGTTCCTTGTTGCTTTCAACATCCGTCTTCACATGATACAGTTTTCGTAGTCAAAGACAGGGACAGGAACTTCATCAGTGCGGTTTACTAAATAGTTTTGATTAATTGTTAAATCTGTAGAGGGAGTATGTTATTGATTAAAATGCATGTCCGCTTAGACAGTGTTACATAACTAGGTCATTACCTGTAATCTGCTTGGCTCAAGTGGGAAAGAGGGAGAAAAAAACGACTATATATATATATTATATATATATATATATATATATATATATATATATATATATATATATACGTGTGTGTGTGTGTGTGTGTGTGTGTGTGTGTGTGTGTGTGTGTGTGGTGTGTGTGTGTGTGTGTATGTGTATGTGTGTGTGTGTGTGTGTGTGTGTGTGTGTGTGTGTGTGTTGTGTATGTTATGTGTATGTGTATGTGTATGTGTATGTGTATGTATATGTATATGTATATGTATATGTATATGTATATGTATATGTATATATATATATATATATATATATATATATTAATATATATATATATATATATATATATATATAGAGAGAGAGAGAGAGAGAGAGAGAGAGAGAGAGAGAGAGAGAGAGATCAGTAGGAGAGAAGAAAAATAGGAGAGGAGGGAAGGAGAAAGAAGAAAGCAAGATAGAAAAACGGGCTAAAGAGAGAAAGATGGTGGGGAGAAAGAGAGAGGAGGGAGAGGTTGTAGAGAGAGAAAGTGAGAGTGGCAGTCAGGACAAAGTTTAATTACTTGCCTCCTTTCAGAGGATGAGTTTGTGAAAAGGACCGCACACCTCAACTTCCATCACTGACAAATCGGAGACGAAACACACTGGTCATCTGTGTTGATAAGGTTAACAAAGTCCCCACTAAATAAGTGTGCTGATCAGCTTGCAACTCCACTTGCTATGTTCTTTCAAAACTGTCTCTAACAGCAAAAGTGGCCATTTGGCCCATCTCGCTACTCTCGGTCACGGGCAAAATCTACGACCAATCTTTTCGTCAACAAAATGAAGTTTATCTGATAGCAACCATCTACCTAGCAACAAGCAGTTTGGTTTTGTATAGAAGAGTTCAGCCTTCGACCTGCTGTTACAACTAGCCAAATTTTGAACAAATTCCTTGATGCTGGCAAATAAACGCGCCATTGCCCTGGACAATGCTGGTGCCTTTGACAGTGTATGGCACAAAGGGATTATCTCCAAATTAAAACGTTTTAGCATTGATGGTGACCTGCTGAAGCTGACTGAAGATTATCTACGAGGAAGAATACTTTAAGTTATGGTAAACATTTACACTTCAGGTGAATACCCATCAGTGCAAGTGTACCCCAGGGCAGCGTCATTGGCTCGCTCTTATCGGATGCCTATTTCAATAACATTCTACATCTGATTCCAGAAGCCCATGCATATGCTGACGAGTGCACGTTATCATTTACATGTGAAAAGCATGAACGCACAGCCTCTGTTGAGCATGTAGATGATATGTTATCACTCATCACCTCATGGGGCCGACGATGGCAGTTTACAGATGAATCCGAGAGACAGAGAGAAGAGGGAGTGATAGAGAGAGAGAAGCGAAAGAGAAAGAGAGGGAGGGGAGAGAAGTAGAGAGAGAGAGAAAGGGGAGGGGGGAGAGAGGGTGGGGACAGGAGAGAGGGGTAGGGGAGAGAAGGAGAGAGGAGAGAGAAGGGGGAGGAGGATAGAGAGAAGAGAGGAAGGAAGGGAGAGAGAGAGGGAGGAAGGAGTGGGAGAGATGAGAGAGGGATGGAGGGGAGAGCAGTATGAGAAAGAGAAAGAGAAGAAAAGAAAAAAAAAAGAGAACGAGAGGGAAGAGAAGGAGAAAGAGAGAGAGAGAAGAAAGGAGAAAGAAGAGGAAAAAAAGGAAATGAGAGAGAGAGAGAGAGAAGGGGGAGAAAAATATAGGGGAGAAAAATAGGGAAGGGGATAAAATACATGGGAGATCAGATAAAAAGGAGGGGATACGAGGAAAGAAAGGGGAGAGAACAAAAATAGAAGGGAAGGGAAATAAAATGGGGGAAGAGAAGGTCGAGAGGAGGAGAGGGTAGGGCAGGGGAGAAGAGAAGAGAGAAAAGGGAAAAGAGAGGAGAGAGGAGAGGAGGGGAGGAAAGAGAAGAGAGAAGCTAAACAGAAAAGAGGAAAAGGTAGAGAGAATATTGAGGAGAAAAGGGAGAAGCGTTGAGAAGAGAGAAGCCTTGAGAAAAGATAAGAAGACAAAGACAAAGATAAATACAATGATAAAGTATGTCGGAGTAGTGAAGAAAAAGAGGCAGCCTTGAGAAAAGTCAGCATAATTTTTAGTGGGTAGACTTGCGGTGTCATATGTGCAATATTCCTTTTTTTCAGTTCTCTGCGATTACATTTATACCCCCACCAAACCCATGCTTGTTGTCGTCGTGCAGGGGGGAGGGGGCCAAGGAGTGTGGGGGAATCACCCCAGTCTTGGACCTCTGCCCTCGCCTCAACTAATTTTGCATGGTCGCTTCTCTTTCATCCCCTCCCTCTTTCCACATCCTAGTGTAAAATTCGTGTCCAAAGGATTGAAGACTGGCTCTGTTAGTCCTGAAAGCATTCGTACTGTTTGCTATTTCATCTTTACCATACAAACAGCGCTCTAACTTTGATTTTACTCGAATTGTTAACTCATTTGTAACCCTTTTGCCAAAATATTTTATCATAATTCTGTATGACATTTTCTTACCTAGGGGCTTTGCCCCCAAGCCTTGCCCTATTGCTATATTTTGTATATGCCGCTAATGGCCGTAAATGTTGATACGGCAGAAAATTTTCAATAAATTAACTTTGATGACATCCAATTAGTTTGTACGAGAACTGGGTACTGGGTCGTGGAGACGCCTGTCGGGAAGGGTTACTACCTAACTGGTGTAATATTAGAATTTCTGGCAAAATCTAGTCTACACAATCAACCATTTTCAAGGTTTGCAATGTGCAGTGTCAATTTATTTTTTCTACAAGAAATTGCATATGGCCATTACCTGTCCATAATATTGATGCAACTTTCAATGCAGAATCTATTACCTAATGTTGGAGTTAGTACACAGAGTAAGGTTAAGAAACCATTTCCAATTATGATTATAAAAAATATAATTATTGAGCCACTAGACAGTTTGAAGAATGACAAAACACAGTAAGCAATTTCTTAGGTTTCTGTTTAACAGCCCAATAGTTTTGGGGAGTTTGATCAAGTTCTAAGCATTTGAGGGAGAATATTCTCAACTACAAAGAGTACAGAGGTATATGTATATTAGCGAGCATGAGTTCAAGGCTTTGCAAACACAACAAACTGGTTTCAGGGAAAATGTGAAGAAAGGATAGAAAGAAGGGATGTACTTCTCAAATCACCCAGTTCACTTTGACCGAAAAAAAGAACAGGCACAGCAAATGAAAATCCAAATACTTATCTTACTTTAATTTCTTAAATGTTACAAGGCTCGATACAAATCCTGCGTAATCGACCAGTCACTTGACTGAAATTAGCATTTTCCTTTTCATTTAATACAAGAAAAAACAGGGTGGAGAGATACAAGTCCTTTTATGCATTATCAAAGAGATAATCTTTTATATACACAAAATAACGATGAAGTATCAAACAGAACAGCAAGAACAAGAGACAAGTCACTGCCAAGACAAAACAGGGAACCTAAGGTCTAGCTTGTCTTTGGGCAGCACAGAGACAGACGGAGAAAGAGAGAGAGAGAGAGAGAGAGAGAGGACATTATATAATGGAGAGGATTTTTATTTTATTTTTTTTTTCTCTCGGAGAGTTCACGGGCCACTGCAGCCAGGACAACAACCGGAATCTGTGAACACTACTCCTGTGGCGCAGCCTACTGGCCGAGACGCATCATCTGTCTAATCTGACTTCTCCTCCGTCTTTTCTTCCTCTTTATCTTCTACTTTTACAGGTTCCTCTTCTTCATCTTTGACCTCTTTGATCTTAGCCTCTTCCTTTTCCTCCTCATTCTCTGTTACTGCAGGCTTCTTTTCAGCTGGAAAACAAAATCATTTCATCAGAAATCATTAAAACAGCTGACAAGTGCACATATATTTGAGAATAATGGGCTTAAGGTCAAAGCATGTATACTTCTGCAAAACGGTAATAGATACAGAATATTCATAATAATAATAATAATAATAAACTAGTTAGTTCACACCCTGAAAGAAAAAAAAATCTACATTAGGATCAGTATCAGTATTCTCTAACAAAAATGCATGCCATCAAATTGAGATACAGTCACACTCCTGAACATCAGTGTTCAAGTCTAAAATTTATTAGAATAATATACAGTTACGGGTTAGGTCTTCAATGTCAAGTTCCATTGGTGGTGCTCCTGAAAAAATTAGGGAGAAAATCCATGCAGAACACACGATGTTGGATAAATCTTTGTTAAATCAGCTACAGTTTTCTTCTAGGATTCAAATCCACACAACTTTTGCGGTTATTAGGTCTCTCAGATACGACGTACCCTACTTCCCCTTGCCCTTCTGTTTCTTGGCCTGTTTACTTGGCTGCCCACCAGGAGCAGGTGCTTGTGTTGGGGCAGGGGCAGGGGCAGGGGCTGGTGCTTGGGTTGGAGCAGGTGCAGGTGCAGGGGCAGGAGTTTGGCTTGGGGTAGGGGCTGCAGCAGGGGTAGGTGCTGGGACTGGTGCAGCAACAGGTACTGGTGCTTTAGCTTGGGCAGGAGCAGGTGCTTGGGGTGGAACTGGAGCAGCAGCTGGAGCAGGGCTGGTACTTGGGCTGGTACTTGGGCTGGTGCTTGCTGGTGCTTGGGCTGGTGCCTGGGGGGGGGCAGCAGGAACCTTTGCTGGGCTGGGGCAGGCAGGAGCAGGGCTGCAGGCCTGCAGGGCAGGAGCAGGGCTGCAGCTGGTGCCTGGGCAGGGGCAGGAGCAGGGGCTGCAGCTGGTGCCTGAGGGGGCAGGGGCAGGAACCTTTGCTGGGCTGGGCAGGTGCCTGGGCAGGGGCAGGGGCAGGGCAGGGGGGGCTGGACCTTTGCTGGCTGGCTGGGGCTGGCTGGGCAGGAGCAGGAACCTTTACTGCAGCTGGGGCAGGCAGGTGCTTCTTCTTGGGCAGGGGCAGGGCTTCTTCTTGGGTTCCTCCTTGGCAGGGCAGGGCTTCCTTCTTGGGTTCCTCCTTGGCAGGGGCGGGCTTCCTTCTTGGGTTCTCCTTGGCAGGGGCAGGGGCTTCCTTCTTGGGTTCCTCCTTGGCAGGGCAGGCAGGCTTCCTTCTTGCAGGGGTTCCTCCTTGGCAGGGCAGGGCGGCTCCTTCTTGGGTTCCTCCTTGGCAGGGGCAGGGGCTTGGGCTTGGCAGGGGGTTCCTCCTTGCAGGGGCAGGGGCTTCCTTCTTGGGTTCCTCCTTGCAGGGCAGGGGCTTCCTTCTTGGGTTCCTCCTTGGCAGGGGCAGGGGCTTCCTTCTTGGGTTCCTCCTTTGCAGGGGGCAGGGGCTTCCTTCTTGGGTTCCTCCTTGGCAGGGGCAGGGGGCAGGCAGGGCAGGGGCTTCCTTCTTGGGTTCCTCCTTGGCAGGGGCAGGGGCTTCCTTCTTGGGTTCCTCCTTTGCAGGGGCAGGGCTTCCTTCTTGGTTCCTCCTTGGCAGGGGCAGGGGCTTCCTTCTTGGTTCTCCTTGGCAGGGGCAGGGGTTCCTCCTTGCCTTCCTTCTTGGGTTCCTCCTTGGCAGGGGCAGGGGCTTCCTTCTTGGGTTCCTCCTTGGCAGGGGCAGGGGCTTCCTTCTTGGGTTCCTCCTTGGCAGGGGCAGGGGCTTCCTTCTTGGGTTCCTCCTTTGCAGGGGCAGGGGCTCCCTTCTTGGTTTCCTCCTTTGCAGGGGCAGGGGCAGATGCCTCTTCCTTGGCAGGGGCACCCTTCTTTTTGGGCTCTCCCTTTGCACCCTTTTTCTTCTGCTGTTCTTTAGGGGCCTGTTTTTCAGGAGCTTCTTCTTTCTTTTCTTCCTTAGCAGGTGCAGCAGCAGGAGTCTCAACCTTCTCTTTGGCAGGTGCAGCATCCTTCTCCTCTTTAGCTGGGGCTTCTACCTTGTCTTCTTTGGCGGGAGCTGGCTCAACCTCAATCAACTCAGGCACATCATCATCTGCCTCTTTACTCTCACCAGCAACAACTGCAGATTTTTTTGTGTCTGCAGTTGCAAAATATAAGATGGGGTTTATGGAAATCATAGATGATAATTCAAAACACCAACAAGGCCACTTTCAGTCTCCAGTTATACAATTTTTCTGTTCTATGCACTATGCCATGCCATCTTGATTGCCAGAGCAAATGGGATAACTTTACTCTTTGATGTATCACTACTATAAACACAAAAATATTGCATATACAATCTCACACTTTAGCAGTAGTTGCTAATTAGTGAGTATGTGTGCGTGTGTGTGTATGCATTGCTTTACATAAACTAATCCCAGGTACTTTAAAGGCAAACATTTTTTTAGTCTTCCTCTCTCTGGATCAATACCACTTACACAACTCTCATGATAAATGATTGTAATAAATTAACTCTAGGTTAGGCAGTTCTATTATAAACACTGCCCAATACATGGGGACATTGAATGAAAGGTCTTTTGGGTGTAATAAACTTCTAAATCCAACTCAATACAGCTCTTACATCTCTCTAAGTCCTAGATATAAGTACTCTAGAGAGGATTTGCAGAATATGCAAATATACAGTTTTCAGCATTGCACTTTGGCATGCAAATATGCTCTTCATTTTTCAGTCTTTATAATGAGCTGAGTGATCACACAAGTATGGCTCTACACATACCTAAATGACCCAAGACGTGCAAAATGTTTCGCAAACAAAAATGTAATATTTTCAAACATTTCTGCTGTAAATTTCTTGAAATCTCAAAGGTCGTGAAGTTCACATTTGGAGATTTTTTTTTTAAATGGGAAACTAGTCAGTGAATAAAAACAAGCCTGTCTTGGTCTCTTGTGCAGCGTTAAGAACTCCTCGTCCAACTAGGTGGACAAGTTTGACATGATACTTTGACTGTTCAGAACCTCTACTTTAATGTCCTGGACAAGTTGTCCATCTCTTCCATATCGCCCTTCTTCACGGCCGTTCATGCAGGACAAAATGACGTTACAATAGCATTTGTATGTAAACAATGACAGTTGTAGGCAGACAGATATAGGTAGGCAATTTTATGGCTGTTTATTGTTGTAATCAAAGGGTATTTTTATTTTTCAGTTGTTACCTATGCATCATAGTTACAAAACCTATGTAGTGTGTAAAATATTATAAACACAAAAAGTTGTATGAAGGTTGGTCTCGTATGTGAAATATTATAACCTTTCTGAAAATAATCTAATTTTTTTATCATATCTAATAGCTATATCATGGTTGCCAATTTTCTAAGGTAAGATGAAAAATCATTATCAAATGTGGCTGCTACCACCTTTGAAGTTGCCGGGGGGGGGGTCCTCAAATTTTGAGGGAGATTCGAAGACCTGAGACGCCTTGAACTCAAAATCGGCAATTCAACTTTTTTTTTTTTTTTTTGGGGGGGGGGGTCCTTCAACCATGTGAAATGTTGCACCTGGCCTATTTGCATATTATGAAGACGAAGTATTTGCCTGAATTTTCAACATCAGTGTTCTCTATTAATTAATCCATTCACCTCAGGTAAAGTGTGGCAAGTGGACATTATCGCAGGAGAGAGAGAGGAGAGAGAGAGAAGAGAGAAGAGAGAGAGAGAGAGAGAAGAAGAGAGAGAAGAGAGAGAAAGAGAGACCCAAAATTTAAAGCAAGCTTGACCACAATCATTGCAACAGTCCATCACCCATTGTGGGTGATTATTTCACCATGATAGGCTGTGATCTGGCATCTGGCATGAGTGGCTTAAAGCATCGTCATTAAGGTTATCAGTCCCTTGAAGTACAAAAGAGTACAGATTATAACCAAGTAATAGCAGGGCCTTCACCCTCAGCTGCTGGACATCTCTACCCGGCCAATATAAGTGTATAAAGGATACCATTTCCACAACAATCAGCACCTGAATCGGACACGCTATATAGCCAGTTTTACACATAGCACAGTGAACAAACAAAACATCCAGGGGATTGTGTGCAGTTCCCTGTAACTAACTATTTACCAGAAATAGCTAAGATGACTAAAAACCAACTAGGATCACATGAATTTGGTGAATATGCTTTGCATTTCTAAACTATACTTTCACCTATATAATGGATCATATATAGGGGGTATAGCTAAGTGGTAGAGCACTATTTTTCCAGTCACATGGTCCTGCATTATCATTCAATCAGCCCACTTCAGTCGACTCAAAAGCAAGTTCTCATTCTTGAAAAGGCCTTTTATCATATCAGAATGTTATTCTATCAAGGTCATTTTATAACTTATACTACTATAATAGTATTATAAAATATAGTATTCTTTAATCCTGAATTACTGAATCCCATGAGCATAATAATATCCAAAGTTGGCATTAAAGGCATTTAAGAAAATGATTATTACCTTAGCCATGGGTTCAAAACATTGCCAACCACTGATATAAAATGTCTAATGTAGCAATTCATTTAGTCGTCATTACTAACTGCCAAGAGCACTTACATTCAAAGCAGTTTGTCTAGGCAGTTCATAACCAAAGTATAGAGAAAATTTATTCAAATAAAGATAATCAACCTAAATATTTTCTACTCACCTGTCTCTGTCTTGCTAGCTGCTTCAAAGTCTTCAACAAGCTCTGGGACATCATCGTCATCGTCATCAGCTCCTCCAGAAGGTACACTACCTGCTGAAACAGTTATTTGCATTGAAATAAAAACACACAAATCAAATATGTTCAAGTCAATAAAAACAAAACAGGTTTGAGCATGCATTTACACATTTTAATCATTTAGACAATTCTAGAGATTCTTTAAGATAATAAACCGTTGAGATTCCTAATGACAACATTCATTCATTTTATAAACACATTTCCACGAGAGAAACAAAACCAAAAATACTTACAAGCATTGACGGATGAGGCAAGTCGCTTGAGCTGGTTGAAGCCTTCTGCACCCAAGTGGTTTAGGATGCCTGGGAGCATTTCTGTGATCTGTTTGTTGTCTGCATGGCCAGACACAGCAAAGGTATTGGCATTTAGGGAGGCCTGGACCTTGGGGTTGTTGAAATGAATGACTGTTCCATCGTCCTTGATCATGTTTACCTGGAAAGGATTTTAAGAACTGAGAAAAAAGGAATAGCACAAAAGAAAATTGGAAAAAGATTGAGGAAAAAGAAACTACATTCTAAATAAAATTTTTACTAAGTATAAAGTTAATACTTTTTAATGCAAATAATTAGTTTTTTCTTGTTTTTTTGTTTAGATTTTTTCTTCAAATAAATTTAAATATTTCCAACAAATCTCTCACTCACAGACTATTTCTTGATAATAAAAAAGTACAAGACATACCTCCTCAATACCAGAAATGTTATTAACTGTGAGCTTCTTGAGGGAGCTCTGTAATTTCTTGTCATCAGTGGCAGAGGAGCGGTGTACGATCTTCTTCTTCCTTCGTACACTACCCTTACCCCCAATGCGCACCTGCTGCTGCATCCTTGCTAGCTTTTCCCGATTCATTTTGGCCTAAAATATAAAGAGAAGGGTTAGCTTGGCACACTATTAGATTTTAAAATTTCAATTTCATTACTTCACTTGCAAGACTGAAGAAGTCATTAAAATCAATAGAAAAGTAATAAATAGTGAATTTTCATAAATATCTAAATATTTTGCATTGCTCTAACCAACAGACACCTGAAAAACATGTTTACATAAACTGCCCCCCCACTTTTATTACTTTTTTTCTTGAAATATACAACTCTACATGCATTTATACAATAGTCAATTAAACAAATAGTAATGGGCATTTCCCCAAACCAAACTAAACCAGACGTAGTGCACAATTAGCCACTTGCACACAAAAAAAAATTGAAGTCTTTAACCCTAGTTTTGATGGGCTTGGTATCTTAATTACCAAGCATTTAAGGCTTAATTCATGACAAGAATGGAAGTGGACTATCAAATAAGGGGTTAATAGGCTTACATGTCCTTATGTGTCATATCTATATGCTTACTAGGTTTGTTTGATTTCTATAATAATGTAATTTTTTACATTAGGGATGCTACTCAGAGAAAGTCCCCAAACTTCACAAAAGAAAATTTATTCAACAATCTATGTTGCCATGACTGGGTACGACCTTTGGGCCCTGCCCGAGAGGAGGGTAGCATCACCTTCACCTCATTAAACGCAGATAGATAGAGCTGAAACTTGGACAAACTAGGTGGACTTAGGCTCTGAGCAGTGCTTTCCACCATATTTTTTCTTTAGCATTACAGTTTGAGTCTGCAGATCATTTCTTGTACTAACAACAGCAACTTTTTGTTTTCTAATGTCATTTTCAATTGACCATGGCTCAGTTGGCGCATACCTTGAAGGTATAATAATAACAACAGTTGTCACTGACATTAGAAGATATAGGATGACCTATCAATATAATAAACTATTACCACCTATGTTCCTGATTCATCATAGCTGCAAATACTACCTCTTCTGCTTGACATACTTAAAATTTTACCAGTTCAAAGAATAAAAATAATAAAGAAAACTGTCCATTCATGAGAATGATTCTTTTTTTTTAATACCTGTAAGAAACTTTACCTCATCAATACAACAAATTCTTCATTTCAATACAACGAAACCATATTAAATCTTGAAGTTTCTCAATTCTCTTCCCCTATATTACTAACTTATCTAATATTGCATAATCAAAATATAGGGTTTCGTTTACACAAGGAAAGCTTCAACTCAAACATATAAACAAACAATCTCTATCCTATACGACCAAAATATTTGCTGTATGGCAAATTCTATGTCACAATTTCAACAATCAAAGGTGCTTTAACTGGAGATGCCTTTTAAGCACTGCCTGCAAGAAGGCATCATCCACCACCAACATTATCTTCACCTCGGTATGATGTGCAAGTTAGATCCAAGATTCGGGAGTACCAAGTAAACTTAGGCTGTGAACTACACTTTCTATGACCTTTTGAATTTGTGGCATAGTCACTTAATTCTGCTTATTTTCTCTTTAATTAGCCCTAGCTTAGTGTCAATACTGTAAAGATAAACTGTCACAAGACATCCCTCCTTAACCCTGACCCTCTACCACTTATTTTATTTCACTTGCCAGAGTCCCTTCAAAGCCTCAGTAAAAGTTACCGAGAGTGACGCAAAGAGATAAAAGGGAAATGGACATCCTCCTCTTACAGAGTATAAGAAATAAGAGTAAAAAACAACACAAGTACAGCTGCAGCAGCCTCATA